CATCCGACTTTAGCGGTACAGGCAGATTTGCTGTTGTCCGGTTGGATACCGGGCTTTACTTAGTGGGGTCTTATGCGATTGGCTACTCCAAGTCCCGGGGCTTGGGTTGCGGTTCCCACCACTGAACAACAAGTCCTAGTGACTATGGGGATCGTCCTGTCTGCTATTCATCACACTTGGGTGTGCAATAAAAAAATGAGAGCACAAAAAAATGATATCTGCGGCTATAACCGGGTTGGTTAACCACTGGTAGTTCACCTAGGGGGAGGTGTTGAATAAAAACCCTAATTCAAATACAACAAAAAAGAGAAATAGGAGCCACATCTCCGTGGTTGTGTCAGTGGTCACCTTGGACGTTTGACCCCTTTCAAAAGGCGGATGATCGGATGAACTGGACGCCGGTCCCTAATGGATTGCGGTTTTCACAAACTGCCCGGCTACCTTGTTCGTCAGGCCTTGGTTAGTCGAAGGCTATGTTTGTGAATTCTCTAAGAAAATTCAACTGCTAAGACGAAGACAACCTAGGACTGAATGAAGGATAGCATGGGTTGAACATAAGCACATTACGCACTTGAGAACCGGACAGCTGATCAAACCATTTTTTTTAAGTTTTGTCTTTACGCGACAGCACTGTGTTGCGTCTCAGGCCGCTTTCAGGTTTATACCTCGTTCGTTAGCATTCTGTATCTGACTACTTGGGAGTAGTGTGGAGTGTGATTCGATTATATACCGAATTTCGTTCAGATCAGTTTCAGTTCGTACAACCATTAACCATGCACTTTGGTGCGCCGGTTTTGGTTGCTGTTTTTTGGCTGTCAATTTGGATGAACAGTAGGAGGAAGACAGAAAGATTGAAAGTAAAGCTAAACAAAAAATGGAGGACATCACTGGACTAATGTTGCGAAGAAATTGATAAGATGCTTGAACGTCACCGTTTACGACACAGCTATCACTCAGTATCTCTAACCATCAGTTACGTTCATCTCGAGGCTCCCAGCCAGGGTGCTTAACAAGACCCATGTGACCCAGTCCCCTCGTTAGGGTTTTCAGACCCTCGTGCGGGGTCTTAGGTTGACTGAACCTAGCTTTTTCGGCACACTACCAGTCTAGGCGTACATCACTCGCCGTGGTAACCTATTCGGTGGCATGCGTAACATGTGCCACATAACACCAGTCTATATGAATTCTCTATCTTCTGCTTGAATTTGCTTCCAATATTCCAATCTTCATTCTGATCTTTTATTCAAATGAGCGACCAAAAGACAGCAACCAAAACCGGCGCACGAAAATGTATGGTTAATGGTTGTAAAAACTGAAACTGTAACATGCCCCAGCCAGCGTAACCTATGGAGGTCAACCACTTGCTCCAATGGACGACTGCGATTACCTAAAACTCTGCGTATCAGCACTGCTCGTTCGGCTGCCCCACCAGATTCATACAATGCTGCGCAGACAACGGTGTTCAAACACCGATAGTTCATCTTTATCCTGTTCTCTTAATCGCCAAGTTTCTGAGCCGCACAGCAGGACTGGCCAAACTGCCGCGGTATACACTTGATCCTTCACTGATAGCCGGATTTCACGACGGCGTCACAGATGTCTCGAGTCAGTAAATACCAACCGAGCCTGGTGTATGCGAGCTGACACTTTATCCGTGATGCGTCCACCGGGTGAGATGTAGCTGCCCGAATAACAAAACTTATCTACTTGCTCTGTTACTTCCCCATTTAGAGTGGGGCTGGGTGCTGGACCAACCCAATCATGTCGCAACATTCTACACTTTGAAGGTGTAAAACCATACCGAATTTTGTGATGTACCAAGTCGAAACCCCGGAGAATGGGGCT